TTGACGCATGGGTAGAACTTCACCACACGATTGCTCAGGACGCCCTGGCCGAACTTATTGAGATGAGCCAAGCGCTCTCCCGGGACCATCCCGGCCTCTTGAAGCCATAATTTTCACCGTCACCTTCATGTGTTATAATTTTATTTTATTTTCCCTTCTAATGGCAGTCTCACTGGCATCCATTAACGTTAACGGCGCTGCTGAACGTCATAAGCGCCTTGAGGTTTTTGGATGCTTGCGAGCTATCCCTGTCGATTTATTTTTATTACAAGAAACTCACCTCGCAGACTTCACGCAAGGTAAGGCATGCGAGAAGGATTGGGGGGGTCAGTGCACGTGGTCCCCCGGCTCTAACCAGTCCGCGGGTGTCGCGGTTCTTATTCACCCGAATAGTGCTGTGAAACTCGTGGATTCTAAAACCGATCTCGCGGGTAGAGTAGTCACCGCTCTCATTGATTTTCACGGGCAATGTTTTTAAATTATTAATGTTTACGGGCCTAATAACCACCGCGAACGCGAATTATTTCTTTACAATCTCTGGCGTTTCAAATACCCGAACATCGAACCTATTGTTGTCGGGGATTTTAACTGTGTACCGGACATCACGCTTGACAAGTGGGGAGGCGATGACAGTTTTGGAGACAGGGCTGTCACGCAGCTACACTCTTTCACAGTGTCACTAGCTCTAGAAGACTTCTTTCGCATTTCTAACCCGCGCGGTAGGATTTTTAAGTGGTTTAATGGCCCTCATTCCATCGGATGTAGGCTAGATCGGTTTTATACCCTGCGAGCCTGGAGATCACGCATCGCGCGCCACACGTGTTTGCCCTTTGCGTACTCTGATCACCATTTAATTAAAGTTCAAGTCACGTTTGGACCTACTAATCCCCGGAGCCGGGGGGTATGGAAATTCAACACACTGCTCAAAAACGAACGTTTTTGCGCCGCCGTTAATTCCTTTTGGTCATCGTGGAAATTAAATAAACCAGCTTTCACCGACCCTAGGGTTTGGTGGGACGCTGGAAAACTGCAATTAAGAGAGATCGCCATCGCTCATAGTGTCGCCGAAGCACGTGAGCGTAAGTGTGACAAACTTAATTTAGAAATTGAATTTCGCAACATCCTGGCTCACGGTACTTCAGATACCGCCGACGAACACGTTCGCTTAGCGGAGATTAGAGATCTCTTAAAAGCCATTGAAGACCGTAACGTAGAAGGAGCTATAATCCGTAGCAGAGAGCAATGGCTAGAATTTGGAGAAAAGCCCACCAAATACTTTTATCATCTCGAAAAGCAACGCCAGACCCGTAATTCGATCAATGAACTACGCGTCGGAGATCAGACAGTCACATCTCACAATAATATTTTGACAGCTTGCCGAGATTTTTATGTGAACTTGTATACTGCCAAACCGGTCGATTTAAAATGCCAAGACTGGCTTTTAAATCAACTGGATACAGCTCTGACATCCGAAGATAAGGAGAAATGCGAAGGAGCCCTCACGCTTTCCGAGTGTTACGAGGCTCTTAGCCAGATGCAAACAAATAAATCTCCCGGAGCAGACAGCTTTCCGGTCGAATTTTGCCGACGCTTTTGGAGTTCGCTAGGCCCCGACTTAGTGGAAGTCCTTAATTATTGTTACGAACACAGGCAATTATCCGACTCGCAAAAGCAAGGGATAATTCGTTTGCTTTATAAAAAGGAGGACCCGTTGCTCTTAAAAAACTGGCAACCGATCTCTCTGCTTAATACGGATTATAAAATTTGCACTAAAGTACTGGCCAACCGGCTTAAAAAAGTACTCTCTTAAATTCTGAGCGAAGATCAAACCTGTGGCGTACCGGGCCGGAGTATCTATGAGAACTTATTTCTCCTCAGAGATACTCTCGATTACATCGATCACAAACAGCTTTCCGCTGCGCTAATTAGTTTAGATCAGGAGAAAGCTCTCGACCGCGTTAACCACGGCTTCCTACAGCGTGTGTTATCACGTTTTAATTTCGGCCCGAGTTTCCGACAATGGGTGAATATTGTTTACACCGATATTCACTCTTGTGTGCTAAATAACAGCTGGCTCTCGGCTAAAATCAAGCTCAACCGGGGAGTTCGACAGGGCTGCCCTCTTTCACCGCTCTTATATTGTTTAGTCGCCGCAACGCTAGGTCAAGCGATTCGCCGTGACAACAGTATTCGGAGATTTCCAATCCCCGGTGTAAACAAACAGAGTAAAGTCTGGCAATATGCCGATGACACTACTTTGATTCTCGCCGATAATTATTCTATAACCCAAAGCTTTAACCTTATTAATATTTTCGAGCGAGGCTCCGGCTCTCGCTTTAACGCACAAAAAACTGAGGGCTTGTGGCTGGGATCCGCGGCCGGAAAACAAACCGGACCGGTAAATATAACTTGGACCACAGACAAGTTTAAAATCCTCGGTGTTTATTTTGGCACTTCTAATGTCAAGCACGCTAATTGGATTGACCCCATAATTAAACTCGAAAAACGACTTAACCTCTGGAAATCACGCACGCTATCACTAAAAGGTAAATCACTAATCATAAATTCTATCGGCGCCTCGGGACTCTGGTACACTGCCACGGTCCTCCCTATGCCAGACTGGGTAGCCACAAGAGTTAATAAAGCCATTTATGACTTCTTGTGGAACGACAAAAAAGAGCTCGTTAAGCGAACTACCTGTCAACTACCTTTTCATCACGGCGGCTTAGAGGTAATTAACCCCAGTGCAAAAGCGAGAGCCTTAAAATTACGCTGGGTACCCCAGATAGGCGATCCGTCGTGTACGTCTAACTGGGTTTTCTTCGCCCGTTACTGGGTCGGCCTAGCTCTGAGCCGTAAGGTCCCGAGCGTGACCTTTCTCAGATCTAACGCTTGTCCTAAATATATCGGAGATTCTCCCCCGAAATATTTCACACACGTCTTAACCGCGGTAGACCGACTGAACCTCGACCTTACCCTGTTACCTAATTACAGAGTTAAAACCTTTTACGAAAAACTCACCTACCCCTCCCCCAGGCGCCTGCCTACCGCAGGAGCCTGGGAGAAGCGTTTGCATACCCCTCTACCGTGGGCCTCTATCTGGTCTCATCTCTATGGTGGTCTAAGTACGAACTGGGAAGCGGATATCGCGTGGCGTATAGCACACAGCGTTCTAAAAACTCGGGCATATCTTAAGAACTGGTGTCGGCTCAACGTTGGTGACCGATGTCCTCGGTGTGGGAAACGCGAGTCCTTCTCTCATGCCTTATGCGAGTGTACTTCTGTACCTCAAGTCTGGCAGTGGGCTTTTACATTAATTAATAAATTTTTCTCCATAACGCTGGCTCTCTTGCCGCCCACGATCCTGTTCAAAGACGGCTTGCCTACCGGCGATAAGCGCTCTGTCGCCCTCGTGCATGTAATTAATGAGATCTGGGCGGCTAGGAATCTAGCGACTTTTGAAGACAAGCCGCAACCAGCTACAGCTACAATTCGGAAAATGAAACATCGCCTGCGGCAGCAAATCCATGCCGCTTATAATTATAACAATACCCTCGTTTTTAACAAAACTTACAGAACTTTACAGGGCCGCCAAAATCTCGGCTTAGTTATATCATTGTGCCTCGTAATTAACACAGTAAATCGCAATAACCAATATTATTCCCGAGGAAGTAGGCGGCATATATTTGAACTCTACAGGGCCGCCAAAACCTCGGGTCCTTCAATCTTATTTCTTACCCCTTTAATTTTCTTGTAACTCGGGGGCCTGGGTCCTAGTGACCACATGCCACTAACCCAGCCCCACCCTACTCTATATATTCTTAATTTTTGAACTACACTTGATTGTAACATCTTCTTGAAATCTGTAAATAAATTATTTTAAGAAAAAAAAGTACCGTTCTTATCAGTCACGTTTTCAGTGTCTCCGCCAAAAACATGAACAGTTCCTTTTCCCACACTTGGATCACCTTGTTTTTGGACTTTTTTCCCTGCGGACATTCCGTTTGTGAGGTTTGTTTAGTGGTTTTTGGTTTTATTTTCGTCTTTCGAGCAGATTTATGTTACTCCGCCAGACACGTGCTTTGCGTGATGGCTGCACAACCTTTGTGCACACAAAAACTGTTCGACTGATTGTTGAAGAAGGCATGGATATAAACGCAATCGAAATTGTGAGGTCTCTTCCCGATTTCAAGGAGGAAATCACTGGCATTGTCCCCAATTCTACGCTCTACCGACGCTGCAACACACTTGCCCACGTCTGGCTTCGACTATGGGGCTGAAAGAAAGCCGTTGAAATTACTTGGTGCGAGAACCATCCACGTTTCGGTGTTTGTCGCCGTGGAATACCCTGACCAAGACATTGTAAACTTTCTAAAGCAGTATATGGACAGTTAAAGTCCGAAAATCTACGCTCCCTCTGTTATACCGAAGATGGTTTTACATCTACTGAGCGTGGTATCCGCGTCGCAGAATTTACGTCACTCGACAGAGATCTACCCAGGAAAGTTGTGACCCAAGGTCTTGAAATATTTTGTAAATATACGGGCCACCCAAGTACAGGCTACCGCTGCAGATCGACTGAAAATGTGGTTAAAAACTGCCCGAAGCAGCACTCACGTTTCAATCATATACGCGTAGAGGATCGCATTCTCCCCGCCCCTCTCTCTCTCGCTCTCTCTCTCTGAGCGGTCTAAATTGATGAAAAATATCCCAGCGCCACAGTACTACCGATGTCGAGTGCTACATCTTCAACATCGCTAATGGGAACCTACAACTACATCGCCAAATCCCTCAGGATGCATTTGTGGAGCTCAATAGGATCGCGGGATCGCGGAGGAATTCTCCCGGGTACACCCCGGCCTATTTAAACACTAACTTTCACACATTTAAATTTAATTTAATTTTTTCCTCCCATCATGGCTGTCTCGCTGGCATCCATAAACGTTAACGGCGCTGCCGAACGTCATAAGCGCCTTAAGGTTCTTGGATGCTTGCCAGCTATGCCCGTTGATTTATTTTTATTACAAGAAATTCACCTCGTGGATTCCTCGCAAGGTAAGGCATGGGAGAAGGAATGGGGGAGTCAGTGCGCGTGGTCCCTCGGCTCAAATAGGTCCGCGGGTGTCGCGGTTCTTATTCACCTGAATAGTGCTGTGAAACTCGTGGATTATAAAGTCGACCTAGCAGGTAGAATCGTTACGGTTGTAATCAAATTTCACAGACAGCATTTTATTTTCAAATAATTAATGTTTACAGGCCTAATAACCACAACGAACGCGAAATATTTTCTGACAATCTCTGGCATTTTAAATACTCGAACCTAGAAACTATTGTTGTCGGGGATTTCAACTGTGTACCGGATATTGCGATCGATAAGTGGGGAGGTGATGACAGTTTTGGAGACAGGGCTGTCACGCAGCTCCACTCTTTTACTAAGTCCCTCGCTTTAGAAGACTTTTATCGTGGTTCCAACCCGCGCGGTAAGATTTTTACATGGTTTAACGGCCCTCATTCCATGGGATGTAGGCTGGATCGGTTTTATACGTTGGAGCCTGGAGGTCACGCCTCTCACAACACACGTGTTTGCCCTTTGCGTACTCTGATCACCATTTAATTAAACTTCAAGTCACGTTCGGACCTACTAACCCCTGGGGACAGGGGGTATGGAAATTCAACACACAGCTGCTCAAAAACGAAAGTTTTTGCACCGCAGTTAATTCTTTTTGGTCTTCATGGCAACTATATAAACCGGCTTTCACCGACCCCCAGGTTTGGTGGGACGCTGGCAAACCGCAATTAAAAGAAATCGCCATCGCTCACAGTGTCGCTCAAGCACGTGAGCGTAAGCGAGACAAACTTAATTTAGAAAATGAATTTCGTAATCTGTCTCACGGTACTTCAAATACCGCCGACAATCACGTTCGCTTAGTGGAGATCAGAGACCTCTTACAAGCTATCGAAGATCATAACGTAGAAGGAGCTATAATCCGTAGCAGAGAGCAATGGCTTGAATTCGGAGAAAAACCTACAAAATATTTTTACCCACTCGAAAAGCAACGCCAGACCCGTAACTCGATCAATGAATTATATGCCGAGGATCAGACAGTCACGTCTCATAAAAATATTTTGACAGCTTGCCGAGATTTTTATGTGAACTTGTACACTGCCGAACCGGCATGCAGGTAGTCCGCATGGTCTGCCATGAGGCCATTCCGCGCCACCTTTCCATTGGGGAATTCCAAGTAAAAATCTCTTATGCAGGAGAGCAGCAGGTCTGTTCCAATGCTATCTTGACTAAACGGAGTAAGTTTAATAATACTGTAATCTACAGCTTTTTTTTGTAAATTTTTATTTGTCATTGCTTCACTTAAACCATATCAACCCATTTTAACTGCTTTTATACCCATCCATGGTAAACCATATTCAACAAATCCATCTACTGCTGTACAAACAACACTAACAAATATGCCCGCCGCTTCAGACGGGCCAATTAGTTTTTGGACTTCTTCCCTTTTCCAGTTTTTCTTCCTGTTCTAGTTTGCCCATTTTCTTTTACATATCTAAACATTTTTGATGCACAAACTGCACGATTACAAAAAAATTGAAGTCTGTTTCTTTATCTTTTCGCTACTGCTTGGTTCAACACAAGGAGTTTTTCTTTTATCTACTACGCAACAAGTGTCTTCTATTTCATATTTACAATTATATAATTTATTCAATACACGAATAACTTTTAAAGTATTAAAATACATTATTACTAACATACTCAATACAATATTCTAGTAAAGTTAAATAAAATGTTAAATAACACGAAAAAATGTCATGTATTGCAGTGTTAAAGAAAAGAATGAACACTGATAACTCTTGCATTTGAGGTGGGAATCCTGTGGCTAAGTCGCTGGGCACTGGGACCTAGTTACATAGACGCCATCTTGTTTTCTTGACAATTAATATATACAGGGCTTGTAGAGGTGAATTTTATTAGTCATTATGGAATCAAACATTGCAAAGAAAAGAACAAAGACAGCGCCTAATTTAATTCATTGTACTAACAATAATGGCGAGTCCAAACTCACTAGAATCTTGGAAGACATTACAAGAGGCTGATGAAATACAAAAGCATGAAGGTATTCTGAGTGTAAAAGTAGACTCCGATAATGAAGTGCCAGAGGTGCTTTTTACCACCGTAAATGCTGAAGTATGTTTACACTAAAAAGAGAACTTAACAGCCAAAACAAAGCAGAATGAGAAAGCCCACGAGAAAGAAGAGCATCTATTCAAAGTAATCCAAGTACGTCTAGAGTGTATGAAAAAGGGTGCATTTTCTGTCGCAAGAAAGATAAATATAAGAAAGGGATAAAGGAAGGTTTGACACGAGCTAGAGAACTAATAGTTAATGATTTAGTTAGAAAAGCTGCAATTATTAAGCAGGACTCGAATTCTGGCCATTCTTTCACGTGATTTGGTTGCAGCTGAAGGTCACTACCATCGTACTTTTTACAGACATTATACCAACATAAAGGAATCTGACAAAGGCGAAGAATCTGAAGAAGATGTCAGTGACTATGCAAAAGCTGAAAGTAGTGCTTTGTCTAGAATGTTCGACTATGTTAGAAATGACTTGTTCAAGAATAATGATATCATAGAGCTTTCCAAATCAAGTGAGATGCTTAGGGGATGGATCTTAGACACTGGTGTGAAAGTAAAACTATCAACGACAAAACACATCCGAAGCAAACTAAATGATGAATTTTGAGACTCTTTGCTAACAATTCAAAAAGAATCCAACAGAGTCCTTGTGTATCCTCACAGTCTCCCACGAGAGGAGCTTGTTCTCTCTAACTACAAACTTGAAAAGGAAGTTAATGTTTTGAAAGGTGCTCATTCCAACATCACCAGTGATAAGGAGGTAGCTTAACAGATTCGTCAATCTGTCAAAAATCACTGCAACAATCAGGACTGGCCCCCAGACCTCACCTCTTAATACATTTCTGCAGCATCTACAAATGAGGGATGATTCAGAGCTATCTGAACAAATAATATTGCTAAGGAACTCTACTGCCCAAGATTTGGAGTTTGCAATAACTAGAGGCAGATATAAGCCCATCAAGCACATATTACTTGCATGTGCAGTCAAGCCATTGACTGGCAACATTGAGCTAATCCAGCTATTGAACCGGCTCGGCCATGGTATTGCCTATACACAGCTCGAAGAGATTGATACTTCTCTCTGTTTGCAGAAACTTGCTATGGTAGCAGAAAATTGTATTCCTCTGCCTGGCAATATACATCCATACACAAGTACTACTTTGGCCTTTGACAACATCGACAGGATTAAAGGCACTTTTTCAGGTGGTGGAACATAACTTTGTGCAAACAGCATTGCCGTACAACCTGTAGTATGTGGTCCTCACCCAGAGAGAGTTCTACCTAAGGTCAGGTACACAGGGCGTAAAAGAAAGCGAGCTGGACAAGTCAAAGCAAAGATCATGTGCAGTTCTAGAGGAGCCTTTACCCATTTACAACATTGGCCAATGAACTGCGCCACCACCAAGGAAAGTGAAAGAGGATGATGGCAACACCATTATCAAAGAAGCCAGAAAGAAAAATCTTCTATTTGTGCTTGAATGTTTGCCTTACACAGCCTACAATCATAAAATAAACCGTTGGACTGGCTTCAACATAAAAGTTCACAACAAAGAGAATATCGTCAACAGTAATGTGGGTTACTTACCAATCATCAATGCCCCAGCTACCAATATGTCTACAGTGAAAGAAATACTGAACTGATTCTTGTCAATAATGCACAGTCTCAATCTTACTAGCATAACATGTGTCTTCGACCAAGCAATTTCTTGCAAGGCCCTCAAGAGCAAGTCAAAGAATGTTTATATCTCAAAAGGTTGAGTTTGATTGTCCGGGTGAACGTAGTCCTGAATAGGACTGTTGTTGTTGACAGTGACTGACGTTTCGACAACCTGTGCGTAGTCATCTTTAGACTCACTTGTCTCTCGCCTACGACCAAACCACAGGGAGAACACCGGTTCTCGTCTGCTCCGTGGCCGTTTTCGCTTTTTGGGAACATAGACCTCTTATCAAGTCCTGACTCATAGTAATCATCGCCTAATGCCACCGTGCGTTTCTCCACTCAGTTTTAAACGAGAACACCGATCTGTGAGGCGCATTTTTAGTGCCCACGTTTTGGCAATCATGGCTGACCGGAAAGGCCGGTCTGTGATTTTTGGAACCCCAGTTACAGCTTCCCTAAAAGAAATCAAAGACGCAATAACTGCTGAAATTGGTGCCGACAAGATCACCGTCCTACAACAGCTATCCAATGGAGAATACCTTGTGAAATTAACTGAAAACAAACTCGCAAAAGAGCTTATTGAGAGTGGAATCGCCATTAACGAACTGCATGCCTTATGTAACACCCCCTCTCCCCCGAGGATACTACATGAACATTAGCATTATGGACCTTCGCACTTATGTAGAGAACGAAGAATTAATCAAAGCCCTCCAACCCTACGGAAAGATAAAAGGAGACGTCGTTCGCCTAAAATACAAAGCGGACCACGACCTCGCCGGCCTCGAGAATGGCAATCGACTTGTGCAAATGATCTTAAGCAAGCCGTCCATCCCCTACTCCCTGAAAATTGGTGACGAATGGTGTCGCATCATTCACAATAATCAACAGCCTATATGCCGCGAGTGTAGTGAACTGGGTCATTCACGAAGAAAATGTCCACAAATCCTCTGCCGCTTATGTCAGGAACACGGCCACGTCTCAAGATTGCCCTAAACGATTTACCTTCCCCCCCTCCCCCCGTTCCGAGCTAGAAACTACTCCTGACGACACACCCACAACCTCTACCGAAACGGAAGAAGATTCAATGAGTAGTGAGCTTGATCACTCACGACGAAACTGTCCAAAAATCCTCTGAAGATTATGTCAGAAAAACGGCCACGTCTCAAGATAGCCCTAAGCGATTTACAAACCCCCCCTCCAACCGTACCGAGCTAGAAGCTACTCCTGACGACACACCCACACCCTCTACCGAAACGGAAGAAGATTCAAACCCCGTAACCCTACAACCTGCACCGGACCAACATTTATCTACTGAAACTACGCTGCCGACTAACAACGCCATTATTTCTACTGAGACCTAGGATACCGCTTCAAGCACCGATCTTCCTCCCCCAACCCCCTCCGGACCTGAATGCACCCCTATGGACGAGTCTAAAACCCTCAAAAGGCCACGTGTCTGACTCAGACTCCGACACAGCTAAGCAAAAACAACCACTGCAACGAGCTCGACTTCATCCGAAGCCTAATACTTCTAACCCGCCTAACAAAGAAAATGCGACTTCAACTAAGACTTCATAAACAGTTTATACTCTACGGACGCCTTCCCCGGATCTCACCATGATTTATTTACGCTTTCTTCCCTTACTGCCAATCATGTGCAGCCTCGTCAGTCTTCATACCCAGGGCCTCAGGTCTCCTGACCGCCGAAAATCTGCCTTTCATTTTCTCAGAATCCACAAGTACGATATTATTTTCCTCCAAGAGACACACTGGACTACTGATTTACAGGATGCTATTCAACGCGACTGGACAGGAGACATTTATTTTAACAATGGAAGTGCCAACTCATGCGGTGTCGCAATTCTCTTTAATCCACGTTTCAATTGCACACATATTAATACTTTTCAGGATTCTTCTGGCCGCGTTCTTGCCATTACAATTAAAATTGATGATCATTATCTACACCTAGTTAATCTCTATGCTCCAAACTCTGACACTGACCACCGGCAATTTTTTTCTTCTTTGGAACCTTTTTTCTCATCCCGCTAACACAACGTTATCGGTGGAGACTTTAATTCCATCGTTAACCCCACGCTGGATAAACAAGGAGGAAATGCTACATCCAGACAATACGCTCTCCGTGTTCTACACAATCTCACTTCTTGATTTGATTTAGTTGACATCTGGCGACAACACAATCCAAATAAACATGGATTCACTCAGACCGGTCGTGACCCAGGACAAAATAATTCCTTTTCTATACATCACAACCTATCACCCCTTATATCTCCGACACTTCAATTATCGCTTATCCACACTCGGACCACGATGTCATCACTCTAATTCTTGACCTCGACCGCCAACCTCGAGGCCCCGGCCACTGGCATTTTAACAATACTCTACTCAACGACGGTATTTTCGGAATTGAAATTCAACAATTCTGGACTCAATGGACTCTATGAGGCATTGATGAGAGTAGCCTGGAGAGGATTTCAACCTGGGGTAGATGAGCGTTATCCTCTAGACATGGATCACATTAAGGAAGCTCTGAACGAAGTTACCAACCTAAGGAATGATTTAACTTAGGACAACCCCGATTGTATTATACAGAGCCAGCCATTCAAGTGCCTAAATGAGCGCTTTGCCGAATTTGTCGACCATCCCCGAAAAACAAATGGCTCTCTCTAAGCATTCTGGATGTCATCTATTGACGTGGTTGAGCTAACGCTGCACATGGTTAGAGCCTCAAGGGAAGGAGATTGGATGCTACATCTCTATTATATTCACCAAATGCTTCCGTGGTGCTTTGCCTACAATGCCATTAATTATGCTCAGTACATGTCTGTGTACTACCGTGACATGACAAGTCTCCAAGACGAGCGCCCAGAGGTACATGAGTGTATGAAAATGGGCAGCTTTTCAGTTCAAATGAGCTCAAACAAGACAATTGGGCGAATCCCTGTGGATCAAACCACTGAAGAAACTGTTGCTAGAGACACAAAGACCGGGGTGGAACTAAAGGTTTCAGCTTGAAGTCCAGTGCAGTACAACGATAGATATTACATGACAGCAGAGTTCAGAAGTCTATTCCTCCGTAACTTGCGAACCATGGCAGGACATGCTCAAGGAAATATGATCATGTTCACCTCCAACGGTTTCGAATAGCTAAAGATGAACAAGACATAAAAGCAATGGTAGATCTTATTGAAAGTAACTGGACCAATCCACCAGCCCCTCTTAAGTATTTCCATGAGTGCCACTGCTTGACCTTTCAATTAATTATTTCCCTTTCAGTCCAAAATGGCTTTGTGTGTCCCGAAAGTAACGATACTTGGTCATTCTTTTGTTCGACGCCTCTGTTGTGACTTGGAGCAACATTTTGATGATTGTGCCACAAGTAACTTCAACCTCGAAGATGTTAAGGTCCAGTTATTTGGTGTTGGCGGAAGGACGGTTAATAAAATTAAGCCATTTGACTTAGTGAATGTCTCCCACTTTGCACCAGATGTTGTCATATCAGAAATAGGTACCAATGACCTTTGTAATAAACCACCAGAAATGGTTGGTTCTCAGATT